ACACAAAAATAGCTACAACACTTGCTTAGACTGACACTGGCTAATGGGTGGTGGTGTTGGCTCATTGCCTCAGGGTAATGACATATGACATTGGCCGCAGGATGTCACGAAACGTGAAAGAGAAAGAGAGAGAGGGTGTGGGGTGGGGCAGGGCGGGACGCACACGCACACGCACATGTGCCCCTTTGCTTTGCTCGTGCAGGTCAGGTGTCACAAGCAGGGGCAGTGTGTGTGTGTGTGTGTGAGCGTCCCGCCAATTAGGCTGCTCGACGCAGATGGGTGTCGTGTTGTGATGTGTGTCTATGTCTGTCTGTCTGTCTGGGGGATGGGTGGCTCATAAAACGCGACGCGCGTGGCCGTTCCAAGGAAGGGTACCTACCTATGACCTATGATGAAGATCTACACATGTGCAACACACACACACACACACCCCCACACACACACACGCAATGATTGACAGGAGATAGTATGACTGAAAACCAGTTCAACCCGTTGATGCGATCGGTATGTTTGTGTTAAGGAGGACAACGACACACACCCACCCACACCCACCCAGAGCATCATCGACAAAGGACAGGAGGAAATGGCGGACGAGTGAGGATCTCGCTGCTATTGCTACGGCTGTCTACTCGTCCACATCTCTCCCCTCCCCTCTCCCCCACACCAACACGCATCAGCATCATCCCCATGATCCCACACCCTCCGACACACACACACAAATGGATGGATGGATGGATGACCGAGAAATCAAACACGAGTGGTTCTTTGCCCCGTCTGGCCATCTCATCTCATCTCATCGGTGGGGGCAGTGCACCCCCTAGCAGTTAGTTACACACAAACACACACATGAACACACGCATCCATCCACACAGACCACAGTACACCACACCCACCTTGCCGCTATGCTACTCGCCTGTTCACAACTCACTCGTTCGTTCGTTCGTTCGTTCGTCCATCCATTCACTTCTTCAAAAACAAGTGAATGCCCGTCGGCACACGGCACAACACGACACGACACGACACACACCATACCACATGAACACATCAAGACGCTCTCGGGCACCCATCCCAATCTATCCACACCCCTCCCAGGTTCAGAAACAGAGAAACAGTTGGTTGTCCCTCCCCTCCTCTCCGCTCCCCTCCACATGCACACGCACACGCACTGACTACACCTCATGCGCCTCCATTGCCCGTGTCACCCCCAGGTTGATCGTCAGCTCAGTAGCCGCAGAGGCAGGGGGTGGGGTCGGGGGGGCCGAGGGCACCGCTGTACACGCCTCCGGCCCTGCCCCCGACGCCCCCTGCTGCTGCTGCTGCTGCTCATGGGTGGTGGTCGGCGGGTCCGGCTCGCTCGACGGCTCCTCCATGTCTACTGCGTTGTCCGCACCAGCCCTCTCCTTCTCATTATTCCTCGGTTGCGCGATGCCATTGGAGTTCTGCCTTTGCTGATTTTGCTGATTCTGCTGCTGGTTCTGGTTCTGTTCGGGGGTTGGCGGAGGCGCCCGTGTGGTGGACTTCTTCCGCCAACACATCAGCCCGCGGCAGCCGCCCCGCTTCCGCCTCCGCCACACGAAGATCCCAATGAAGGCCCCCAGGAGCAGCAGCGTCACGGCCGACAGCACAAGCGCCAACACGCGGTACAGCAGGAAGGCCCCGCGCTTCTTGCCACGCGGCTCGTCCACCCGCACCCCCGACTGTCTTGCCGAGGGGTCCGCCACCAGACGGAGAGAGTCGGGGTCGGACTGGCCGTTGCCGGCGGCGAGCGACGCGTTGGGTGGGCAGTCGGCTTCTTCCAGCTCGTTAGGGAAGCCGACGTGGAAGCGGGGCGAGCGGACCGAGCGGAAAGGGGCTGCCAGCTGCTCCACGACGACGAAAAAAGTTTGGGTCTCTGAAATGAATGCCATACAATGACGTGACGGGAGAGAGGTGTGGTGTGGTGTGGTCTGTGGCCCACACACCTCCGCAGCTGTTGGCATTGACGTATTCCTTGAGGGTGAGGTCGAGGCCGCCTTTGTTGGGCCACACCTGCGCGGTGAGGGGCTTCTCGGACGTGTCCTCGGTCACCTCCCACAGCTGCAGCAAGATTGACCCTTGGTAGCCTGCGAACACACACATACCATACATGCGAAGCGCCCACAAATTCGCGACCATCGATGCTCCCCTCTGTGTGCGGCTGGCTGTTCTCACCGCCGTCAGTGCGCCACCTAACGGGCACTCGCTGGTTGAGGGAATAAGTGGTCTCAGCAGGGGCGGTCATTCGTATGCCCCTCCGCAGCCCGCCTCCCTGGCTGATGCCCGTCTGCACAGCCGACTTCTCATCCTCAGTCGACGGCCCCTCCCACTCCCGCGAAGGGCTGTGCACACCGGGGTAAATCTCATAGAAGTTCTTGACCGTGCTGCCCGCAGGCTTGTCGCCACCGACACCACTGTCGCCACCATCACCACCACCACCGGCCGTCTTGCCTGCCCCTGGCTGGCCTTCCTCTCCTTCCGACGCGACGCTGTTCATGTGAATGTCGGCGTCATCGGCGTCGTCACCCTCGTGTGGTGGTGGTGGTGGTGGCTTCTTGTCGGAGGGATTCGACTCTATGCGGAAGGGTCGGGAGGTGAGCTCCTTGGACCGGCTGTTGGTCACGGGCACGCTCTTGCCGCCGTACTTTGAGAAGTCGGCGTTGGTCACAATGATGATGAACTCGCCCTCGTCGACCGTCGCAGTCACCACGAGCTCCTCCTCGCCGTCATTGTCGCTCTCAATCCGCAGCACGTGGGGCACAAACCGGATGGCCTTGAGCAGGTCATTGCCCTCCTGCTTCTGCGCCTCCTCCGGCTCGAAGGGGAGGCGGTCCGCCCGCACCACCAGGATGGTGATCTTGTCGCCCTTGTTGAACTTGGTGGCGTCCCAGTGGATCATGAACACCGTCCCAGGCATGAGCACGTTAGAGCCGTCCCGCGCCGGCAGGTCGATGTGCACCTCTTCTGGCAGCTGAGGGGTGGGGATCTGCAGGCCCTCATCGGCAGCGGGCGCAACGCTGACGCCCTCAGAGCCTTGGCAGCGGTGGATGGGCAGCCCGGAGAGAAGCAGCCCAGTGAGGATAAGAAGGCGGCGCAAGGACAGGAGTTGAGATGTCATGACGCACGCACGTTCGTTGGCAGGCAGAGAACCGAACGACGCTGTGTAGGCAAGTCTCTCTCGTCAGTTCAGCAGTCCTCCAGTAGCGTTAAGGCTTTGGGTGACGGGGGTGCGGGCGAGACAATGAGAGGTCAGGACGGTGGGCGGCTGTCTTTCGAGGTTGCCAGTCATCATCAAACCGGGAAGGGAGGGAGAGAGAAGACGGTTTCACGCAGTGTCCTAAGCGGCCGAAAGCTGGCACATGCGCATCGCCGCAACTTTCCCCTTGGCCCTCGCGTTTGTCTCGTCCTCAACCGCCTTCGTTACTCCGCTGACTCGGCATTGGTTGCGTCCACGAAGGAAGGCTCAGCAGATCTCGGCGCAGTCGGCTGAGATGAGTGGCGCAGAGATGAGCGACGTCAAAGATCTGGCTGTCAAAGCTGGCAGAGGTAGTCCAAACCACATGCAGTGCAGCACACGCACGCACACTGAACAACGTGGCATTCTGTTGTGTGTTGCCCTCTACTGTGCTGTGCCTTGCAGATATCAGCGGCGCCTGGGTCTCAGCCATCGCCTACATGGGCGACCAGCTCGGCCTCTTCAGGTGGGTCAGAAGCAAGGCAACCACAGGATTTTATTCGCGCCATGCGTGTGTTGGCCTTAGGAAGCTTGCCGAGGCGCCCAACAACGGCGAGGGTCGCGGCGTGACATCCGCTGAGCTGTCAAAGAGCCTCCAGCTCAACGAGCGATACGTTCGCGAGTGGCTCCATGCAATGGTCGGCCAGCCTCACGAGTCACTTTCCTTGCAGACTGTCTGTCGGTCTGTCTCTTTGTCTGTCTGTCTGTCTGTCTGTCAGGTGGCGGCCGAGTACATCGAGTGTGAGCTGGTCGATTCCTACGTCGACAGGGGGGAGGGGACTCAAGAGGGAAAGAGGAAGTTCTTCATGACCGGGGCACAGAGAGCGGTAGGCTCAACAGGCCGGGGAAGGACCGACACACCGCACCCGGGGGATCGATGTGTATATGCGTCTGTCTGTCTGTCTGTCTGTGTGCCAGGTGTTTGCTGCCGACGAGAGCCCTTTTGCAATGAATGGCTACTTTGAGTTCACTCTGGGCTCATTTCGCAGCATCCCTGTACGCGAGCAGGAATGTTGGGAACCGCAACGGCACTGTCTATTTCTCGTTATTCTGTGTACCGTGAATCATTCAGGAGGTGATGCGGTGCTTTCGTGATGGCGGCGGGGTCCCTTTCTCGGCTCTCGGCCCCGACGTGTCGCACGGCATCCACCGCATGCACGTGCCCCTGTTCGTGCACCAGATGCCCAGCTGGTTCGCAAACCACCCCTCGCTGCACGATAAGATGACAAGGGGCATCCGCTTTCTCGACATTGGCGTCGGCTCCGGGCTGTCGACCATCGAGCTGGTCAGCCAGTCAGTCAGCCAATTCAGCTCATGAGGGGCCGGCACACGTCTGTCGTCATGCACGTGTGTCTTCTTCTTTCTCTGTCAGGCCCGTCGGTATCCGCGCACGACCTTCGTGGGGCTCGACCCTGATGCCGTGTCAATCGAACGTGCTCGTAAGGCGGCGCCTCCGCATTTGACCAACCTGGATTTCGTCCAATCGACAATTGAAGGCCTGCCCAGCCACCCGCAGCAGGTCTTTTTCCACGGGCGGCACTCTTTTGACGCCGCCTTCTGCTTCGACGTACGTGAGCTGCCTTGTATGTGTCTGTAATGCAGCACAGACATAGAGAGTATGTGTGTTTGTCCTTCACGCAGGTGGTGCACGACCTGAAGGACCCCGTGGCTGCCCTGTCGACCATCCGGTCGCTGCTCAAGCCTGACGGCGAGCTGCTGTGGTCGGAGCCCGCCGGGTCCGTCGACCCGGTGGAGAATCGCAGCACCAAGCGGCGCACGAGGCAGGCACTCTCGATCCTCCACTGCATGACGGTGTCCATGGCGGAGGGGGGGGAGGGGCTGGGCACTCTCATAGGTAAGGAGAGGGCGGAGCGGCTGGCGAGAGAGGCGTCGTTCAGCACTTTCCAGCTAGTTCACGACATCAGTTCTGAGGACGGTCAGTACTTTTATCGACTGCTGCCGTGACGGGCGTTTAAAGTGAGTGTAGTAAGGGGCTGCGTGTGCAGTTGATTCCCAGTTGATTCATTGATGTTTTCTATGTTGATTGGATGGCTGTGTGGCGAGGGTCGCTGTTGGTGTGCATGTGTGAAGTTTTGTGTAATGGCCACTCATGGCTACTCATGGCTTGACTCCAAGTGTGCGAAGCAGGAAGCAACCGGGGGAGCAGCATCGTACACAAAATTTCGTTGCATGCACGGCACGGCTGTGTGTGTTTGTACGTACTGTACCTTTTGGAGGCTCTCATTCATAGCACTAGAGCTTTACCGATCGCCCGCAGAAAAGTTTTCGTTGTGATCTGGAAATTGGCGGCTGACTCTCGAAAATGGAGCAAGCAGTGTCGCCTGCCCTTTCGACTGCCCATCTCAGAAAGGTTCTCCGAAGCTGGGTGAGCCTCAATGACCATCTCGTGGCGGAGGATGCAGCGCAAGCGGCTCCGAGGACTCTGTGGGTGGCGTTCGAAACGTGAGAGAATGAGAATGGCTCAGTTTGCACTGACACATGGATGCATCTGCGATCTGCGTTGTGTGTGCTGCAGCGCTGTGGATGAGACGAATGATGCCGTCTCCAGCAGTCTCGCTTCCAAGGCAAACTCTTAATGCAATGCTCTGCATTCTGTCTTGGTCGTTTCATCTCTTGCGTGTGCCTCTCAGCATGAAGCTGAGGAGAGCTGCCAGCTGCTTGAGTTCGCGCAGATCACGCTTCGCAACTTTCAGGCAATGGGAGGAAGACGCATAGACGGCTCACAACCATACAACCAACTATCGGCCTCTCTTGCTTTGTTCTGCAGAAGTATCTGAGATCAAAGGGAGAACGGGGCACTCTGCGGGAAATCCAATGTGTCAAGTGGCATTCCTCTCTCATCCACATGATCGGCTGTTGCTGCAAGTACCGCACGAGGCGCAGACAGCCAACATATCGCTGCTTCTCATGGCACTCTGTCTGCGTATTCAGAGTGATAGGCGACCTCCACGCAGCCCTTGCCTTCCTCAAGACGGCCGAGACCGTGGAGGGAGAGGCGGAAGAGCTCCTCGCTTTGATGCGCAGACGCTTGGCAGAACGGCAGCCACAGCCGCGACCCACAGCATCTCCTTCCATTGAACGTTCACGGCCGTCGTCTGGCGGCCTTGCACACGGATGGAACGGCCTTGAGGCAAGGCTGGAACAAAAAGGGAGGAGTAAGAGCGACAGGCTACGGTCTGTGTCGCCTCCTGTGAGGTCGCGGAGCGGGGAAGGCAACCTTGACAAAAATGCTGACAAGGAGACTCGGGAGCCGACATCAGGTAAGAGTTTAGATAGACCCTGGCAGATCTCCTTCACGCCTACACAACAGACAGACAAAGAAATGGATCTTGATCAAGGGGCATATGTCATGTGAATTCATTGACTTGTTTGGCTTCTGTGCGATGAATTGCAGCCTTGATCAGCCGCTCTGTGACTCAACTTGGACTGGGTTCGGTGCTCTCTGGTCTTAACAGACACGGAGAGGCACTTACCCACGCACAACAGGTAAAGGCAAGACAATTGTCAATCCTTCAGACAGAAGAAATGTAACACATCGCTTCCTGCAGGCAGTGGATCTCGCCGAGCAAGCAGCTAAGACGCTGTGGGGCACCGCATCACAGCCACACGCAGATACAAAAGGTCTCCGAGTGCCGCTGCCTGCTGCGCCGCGCAAGTCGTTCCAAGAAGCAAGAGAAGGGCACGGCGGTCGCCCACCAACTGACCCTGGATGGGTCCTGGCTGCCTCATATCACAACCTGGCAGTCGAGCAAGAGGCCATGGTATACACTGACGTGTCGAAGGAGACACTATCGATGCTTGTGTCCTTGGTGCAGGGTCACCCGTCGCAAGCGTTGTGCAGCTTTCGCTCTGCATTGGAGGTCGTGTCAAAGGCGATGCATCAAGATGACACAAAAGCCATGGACCTCAAGAGAAGGTGCCAAGGTGCGCAAACATGTGACGCCTACGGAGGAAGGCTTGTTCGCACACTTGTGTGTCTCAGCCGCCATTGACCGATTGCTGAAAGCGCGAGAGGAAGCACTCGATAAGAAGACGCAGAAGATCGAGCGCCAGTTCTCTGAGATGCAGCGGACGGACCGCTGGAACAACAGGCGCCAAGGCACCTTTATCGATCCCGCAGCAATCCGTCATCGCGACCAAGAAGGCCCTGTCAGATGCGCCACAAGCCCCCACCTCCCCTACGAGCCGCAAGGGACACGCCATGGGGGCGAAAACGCCCTTTCGCCACACCAACAGTCCGACCAGCCTGAACACGTTGGTGAGAGCTGCTGGGCGAGGTCCAAGACACCAGGCGAGCGAAGGGGATCGTTCGGGACGTCGCGTCTTCTGGAATCAGCGTCCACGTGGCATATCGTATCATCGGCTGTCCGTGAGATGGGTACGGGGGTGAGGTGTCAGCTGTGGGTGGAGGAGGGGCATGAAGGAGGCGTCACAGTGCACCTTCTCGCATTGGCCTCAGGTAAAAGAAAGGAACAAAAACCGCGCAGACTCTCCCCTCCCCCCATTATGCTTTCAGGTCGCCACTGGCAGGTCCAATCGCTGAAGGCTCGTTGAGACGCATGATGGACAAATGGACGTCAAGGACAGAGGTCGGAACAACAACGCTGATTGACCCTCCGAAACTTGATTGTGACTGCCTCCATCTCCTTCCAGCCTTCAGCAGTGTCCAGACAGGCTTTTTTGCGAGACCTACTCCACGACATCCGAGTGGACAGAGAGGACGACGTCGATGAGCTCCTCGGCAAGCCAAGCCACGACGATTCATCCGATGCCATATTCATCGCAAGACAGAAGAGGACAATTGTTCGTGGGATCAGCAAACTCCCGAGCGAAGTGAGAGAGACGAGGCCACCCAGCAGTGCACCGAGACAGGATGGCCATCAGGCTCCGCATTTCGGTGGCCTCGATAGCTCGGCGGAGTGGCATGCAGACCGCGTCTCTGTGCGGCAGCCAGCAGAGGGAACAGTTGCCAGGGGGAGCCGGGCGGGGTCGGTTGCAATGCATGTACCTCACGGCTTTGTCATCTCGGTGTGCGGAGAAGGGGCGAGACGTCGATCGGATGATCGTCGGTCATCGGATAATGACGTGTCGATATACGTCGATGGATGGGAAACGGGAGAGGCGATGAGGACTCCCCGAAGGCAATGAGGCCGTGGTTGGAGGACTCGTTTCTTTCCACTCAATTATCATATTTTTACGTTGAGGGGCAATGAGGGCCTTGAGCGAATCTGAGAACATTGACACAGCAATCAGCGCAGAGGAGCGAGCACTGACAAATGAATAAGGTCCATGTCTCCATGTGCACTGCAACCTCCAGCCCTCACGGCGCATACCCAGCCAGCTGTACACGGCCACAACCAGCTCGAAACATGCAGAGCAAGTATACAGCACGTCCCAACAGACATCCCTCCCTCCCTCTTAATCTACGTAGCAATTCTGAGCTTGCCGCTGGCACCGAGATGAGTGCTGATTTGCCCCCCTCCCCCGCTGGGCTGGGCAGCCACAGCAGTCGTCGCGTACGCGTAGTCTTGCAGCTTCTGCGTGAATGCTGGCTTCAGCTCTCTCTCGGTGCCGTCCAGTATCTTTGACGCCATATTCTTCTTCATCACCTCCAGAGACTTGGTCAGCATCTCAGCAAACTCCTGCATGATGTCGTGAGGACATCAGCCGGGCGCGTCTCCGTGTCTGTCTGCCTGCCTGTCTGTCTGTCTGTCTGTTCTCTCTTTTCGTCCGTACATGTGCCATTTCATCCATGCGCTTCTTGAGTTCCTGTATGTGCACGTCTCTGGCCTTGATCTCCTCGTCTTTCTCACGCACCAGCTCCTTGAGCTCATGGTTGGTGAGGTCGAGCTCCTCCTTCTGCTCTGTCAGGGTGGTCTCCAGCGAGTTGATCTTGTGAATCAGCTCCTCCTGCAAGGCCTTGTACTGACGCGCCATGTCTGCCGTCACTGCATGCACAGACAGACGCACGGAGAGAAAGACGGTCTGTGAAGGGCTCTGTCTACGTGGCTGGTGTCCCCCATCTCTAACCTGCAAAGGTGTTGTTCTTTTCGTCTTCGAAGTCCTTCTCGAGTTCCTCCACTTTGGCTCTCAGCTGGGCCTCCTCGGCCCTCACGGCCTCGCATGCCTCCTCCTTGAGCTGCAGCTCACGCTCAAGAATCAACAGCTGGTTCTCGAGGTCAGCATTCAACTCCTCCGACGTAAGGGGAACACCCGCCGGCCCCTCGCCTTTGCCCTTCTTGCCTTTCTTCCCGCCTTTCTTCTTCGGGGCCATCCTATCTTGCGAGAAACCCACCGCGCAGTAGCCTCCCGTGGGGTCTGGGCGTTAGGGTTTGAAGAGCTCGCACGGTGAGGGAGCATCACCCGTGTGGCCGCGTGGTGCAGGTGGTGTGTCGAGGCCAACAGCAGGGTGAGGAATCATTTATCGAAATGCTCAAGTATTGCTGTGTGCGTTGGTCCTTCGCAGATCTGGCCTCTGTCCTCTTCTCGTCAGCCGTGTTTTGAGTGGCACCATGGGAGCTTCTTCTTCTGCTGCTGCTGCGCCTCAGGCAGAGGTGAGTCAAAGCACAACAAACACACACACTCATCGATGTGTCAGAGCATCACTGACACATTCGTTCGCTGGTTTGATTGATGTTCGGTTCGTCAGGCAATGCCATCCCCGACGCCGTGCCGTTACAAAGAGGGCAGTCGTGTGCAGATGGTGACCAGCAAGCGGGAGAAGGGCAAGCAGAGGTGGGTCAAGGCCGACGTGTATCGCATTGAGGAGGGCAGTAGTGGACGGACGGCGCTTCACTTGAGGGAGGTGGGCGGACACCGGGAAGAGTTCAAAGTGCTGGTGCCGCACAACGAGACCAAGACATCACCGCATGGCCAACAGGTATACGTGACGTCCACACGTCCACTCAATCACCGCACTTGTGGGGTGGCACGCCCAGGCGCATGGCGGCTTCCGCCTCACTCACAAGAACTTAGCTGATCAGGATGATAACACAACGGTACTCACACACAGCGACACTCGTGACGCGGCTCACTCTCATGCTGGCTGCTCTCGCTGACTCAGGCCCTTCGTGGTCTTGGCGACGACCATCTGTCTTGTGTCTTCAGCCTCATGACCCCTCGCGAGCTGTCAGCCCTCCCAACCCTCTCCAAGCAGTGGCCGCAAGTCCGCAAGGGGGCCCTTCGCCAGCAGACGCACATCGCCATCGACTCTTCTACCGAGGACGCCCGCCAATTCTGGGACAACATGACGCCTGAGGAGGCCTTCCAGCTCGGCAAAAAGCTCGTCAACCTGACGGCCCTCACCCTCGTCCAGCCACGCCACGAGCGCTCATGGTGTCTGCGCAGCATGATATGCATCGTGGAGGGCCATGCGGCCGGACGTCGGGAGGCGTGCGAGACGAAGGGACAGCAGCACATGTCGAAGGGATCGCTGGAGACCGTCGAATTGACTACCACCAGCACTACCACCACCAGCAACAGCTCCCCGCCCTTCCAGCTTTCTCCCCTCACCGAGCCCCCGACCCTCCATGCCCTCAGGGCCGTATCTGGTGCCGTCCGACAGCACAGTATCCTTGCCTACAGGGGCTGACGCATGCCTGCACTCGAGAGTGTGGAGCTGTGGGGGGGTGATGCCGACGACCTGGGCCGATTAATCAGCTCGTCTCAGTCGCTGAAAGAGGTTGGGGGGCGTCGGCGGTCATGGGAGTGGTGGGCGGCTGTGTTTGAGCACTTTCCTGTCGCATCCGCCGGGCAGCCAGGGCCGCTCAGACACCTCCAGACCATCGGAGGGATCACATGGGCCCACAAGGACGAGGGACAAGTGAGGCGACTGCAGGTAGGCAACCATCACCCAGGGGAGGCCTCATCTGTCTGTGCGCACACACACGAATGACGTCATTTTCTCTTTGTTTCTTTCTAGGATGTGCTCTCATCGCGTGGCTGCCGCAGGTCGCTGACAAGGCTCGACGTGGAGATCGCAGCATTCGAGGACCACGACACCCTCTCTGCCCTGCTTGCTGTCGACGGCTTCATCAACACATGTTGCGTCTCGCCAGACGTGCCGCTCAAGGTGACTGGTGCACCAGGTGACTTCGAGCTGTCGCTCCTCTACGCCGACGCATTCCCCCCTCGCCCCTCGCCCTTCATCAAGACGGCCATCAAGGATGCGGCACGACAGGCGATAGCCGTGACCTACAGCCTCAGCCAGCATGACCTCACCCACCCTCTTGACGACCCCAGCCAGGCGGCCGTCGAGATGGCATCGAGCCTCTCATTCGACAAGGCGGAGTATGTGGTGGTTTGCGATGCCATTAGCTTCGTCCCCCCACCAGGCACCCCCCCACCCACCCCCGCCATCATCAACCACCTGCAGCAGCTCCCGGGGGCGAGAGATCTGGATGTCTACAGCGCTGTGGGCGTTGCTGCTGGCCGGCTGTTGGCACAGAAGATGCCCATGCAGGTGGGGCGTGTGTGCTTTGGCGCAGCTGTCAGTGCGCAGGACAGGATCGGCGTGCTGGAGGCGCTGGGGGAGAGGGTGGCGGTGGGAAATGTCCTACGGTCAGTCTCACTCTGAGTCGGGTTGGCATGAATGGTGACGACCGCCTACGGTCCTTCGCTGATTTTTCCTCCTCTCCCGAGTAGCCTACTTAGCGTGAACAGATACACGCTCTGTGCTGCCGGGGCCATCGCAAGCGACTCTTTGTGTGTGTGTGTGTGTGTGTGTGTGTGTGATGCCTGACTGCGTGACTCTGTGTCTTTCTCTATGCAAATCGTGCAACTTGCGAATCGGTCGCCACCTCAGTTATTGATACGAAAAGCGCGCAGCGTTGTGTCGCCAGATCTCGGACGCCAGGCGACTCTGCCTGTGTCCTCGCACATCATGGAGGGCAGATCAGGTTCAGACCCACCTGCATCTTCCTCAGCCAAGGTCATTGAGGTGCCGACGGTGTCGTCCTGCGCCACCAAGGTCACCACGAGCCTGGATCTGGCACTGGACAGCCGACACGACCACAGCACACTGCCTGTCATCATGGAAGAGGAGACTCTCTCGCGCCGGCTGCGCAAGTGCTGCAAGTGTGTGGTGAGTCCGTCAGTGGGTGGGGGAGGGACACACTGACTGACGAACCAAGCAGATCGCTTTGCTTGCGACTGGGTGTGTGCAGCACGAGTCGCTTCAGATCCTCTGCTGCATACCCTCGTCCATCATCTGGAAGCGGAGGGTAAGGAAACGGCACACACGTCATCCCATCTCCCTGGGATCTTTCTGCGTGCTGTGTTGTGCTGTGTTGTGCTGTGCTGTGTTGTGTGTGGTCGGCTGGGCTGGCTCCATCTGCAGAAGATGGGTGTGAGCATGCAGAAGATGGACTTCGTCAAGAGGGAGCTGCGCACATTCGTTATCTGGAGCAGGCTGGTGGGTCTGTCCTTCCTCCCCGATGACAACAACTTTGTGCTCTGGGTCTGGCCTGTCATCATACAAGTGGGTGCCCTGCCCTGCACCACACCTCACCACACTCGCAGAAGGCCTGCAGCAAATGCTGCACGGGCTGGTTGTCCACGTGATCCATCCATCAATCAGGTGTTGCTGTGGCACACGACATTTGTCAACACGATGGGGCTGTGGTGGTCCGTCACCTACCAGCACCAGCTGCAGCACATGCAGATGGAAGCATCAGAGGCCAACGGCAGCGATGCGGTACCCATGACTGACTAATCAGAGAGGCACGACCCACACACACACATGTTTTGCCTGCTTGTTGTGTGCTGCAGCAGCAGCAGCAGCAGCAGGAGCGTGGCGCCGCGGAGATGAGACAAGAGGAGCCGCTCGACCCTTTTGTCGTGTTCCTCTTCTTCTCAGCCTCGCTGGCGATTACCGTCTCGTACACCGTGCTGCGCATTCAGTGGTACATCGACACCATGCCATGAGGGAAGGCCGGCATCCTTTTGTCGTGACTGTGCGTGTGTGTATGGTGCAGGTATAAGAAGGGAGCGACATTCGGCCAGGTGGTGGAGTTCCACCGAGCCCGCGGCGGGCGCTTCCTGCGTCTGCTGCGTGGGCCGATCGTCGCCAGGCTTGTCATTTCGATTGTGATATGCATCGCGAGCTGGCTCCACTTCACGCTACACGAGTGAGTGAGTGCGGCACCATGGCATGATGAGGGATGGGCGTGGTTGCAGTGTGGTACGGCGGATCGGTCATTCTTTCGTGACTGTATATGTGTGTTGACCTGCAGGTACATTTCCAAGTGGGTGCGCGGAAAGGCTGTGGGGCAGTACATTATGCCGGGCTCGGAATGGGAGGGCCTCAACGTCTTCGTGCACGTCAATGTGACGATCTCGGCCTTCCTCGGCTACCTCGTCCAACCCATGATCGCGTGAGCACCGAATGAATGAGACCAACACACACACATGGAGACAAAAACGGGACACTCCCTGTATGTGTGTGTGTGTCTGTGTCCCACCATCGTCAGCGTGTCTGTGGCGGGTCTTTTGTCGACCATCTGCCAGATGCACACCGCGGCCGTTAACTGCCTCCTCTGGGAGCTCTCGGAGCCTGTGCGCATCCAGGAGAGGCAGCGCAAGCGGCGCATCAACAAGAAGCTCAGTGCCGGTCAGATCAGCCGCTACGACAGCTCCGAGCAGCTGCCCCTCATGAACGCCGTGACGGGGCATAGCACCAGTGGCGACCACCTGGCGATGGACGACGACCTGCGCGCGCTGAGTTCCCTGGTGCAGGGGGGCGGGGAGGGGCGTGAGGGGGCGGGGGAGGACGAAGAAGAGGCTGGCGTCACGTATACACCACAGAGAGTGGCTTACCTTATGGATCTTCATCGCAAGTACGTCAGTCAGAAGGGTCAGAGGGAGATCTGACGGTGTTATCGTCATCTTGCTTTGTTGTCGTGTCTGTGTGTGTGTGTGTTTGTTGGGCCTGAGCCAGAATCGACTCCCTCATCACCCGCAGCAGTCGGGCGGTGCAGCTGCCGATAGCCACCATGTCGCTGCTGTACTTCATCACCTTCCTTACTTGCGCCTTCCTCTTCGTCTTCCTACCCAAAAAAACACAAGACGTCAACATGGTCATCTGTGTCATCGGCGTCTTCATTACTGTGGGCATCTCATGCTACTGGCTTCTGAGGGCATCCAGCCAAGTGACGGCCAAGTGCCGCAGACTCGGCGAGACAGCGTCCCTCAACCCCTGGTAGCCACCTGCACACAGGCGACCTGCATACACGGGGGCGCCCATTCTGCCGTCATTCGTCTCTCTTCCTCTTCCTCTTCCTCTGTCTCTGTGCGTTGCGTGCAGCCCCAATGCCCTGCTGCACATCGATGTGGACGAGACGGCCTTGGCCGATGGAGAGGTCGAGGGCTTCATCCACCCCCAGACAGAGACGCCCGCCTACCGCGCGTCCATTCTGCGCGACCACACGATCGTCATCTCGGCCACCAATGAGCTCGCCGCCCTCCCGCCCCTCTTCCCTCCGTCTTCGCCCTCCACCAGCCCCTCGCACAGGGACAAGAACGAGCCATCGCCGGTGGTCGAGTCGCCGCTCTCCCTCACGCCACCCAAACAGAGCCGCTCGCTGTCCGAGGGAGAGGCCGTTTCCAACGGCTCGCCCACCACAGCCCCATCAGCTGCTGCCTCGTCGAGTGGCGGGCCGCCGTGTGTGATCGGCAAGCAGGATGCCGAAGTCCAGACGAGTGGAAGGGACAGAGCAGAGGACGATGCCAGTGTGCGGCGGCCGCCGTGTGAGGACTGGCTGCAGCAGGTGATGCTGGTGCAGTTTTTCTCGAGCACCAGTAGTGGGTGGCGCGTGTATGACAGCCTGATCACGCCGGAGTTGCTGTCGAGGGTAGTCTACGGGAGCGTCACGATATTCGCCATCGCCATCCAGCGAGTCGTGCTGTCGTACGGCGAAGTCGTGTAGACAGCACTTACTGTAAGACAGCTATGGATGGAGTCGGTGCGGTGGCTGCGACTGGGGGACTTTTTTTGCTCTCTGCCACCAGCCAGCTGCTGTATAGTAAAGTAAGTATTTGCTTAAGGGGTAAGGGCCGCGGTCTTTATCGATCGCGTTGTCGGTGTGGTGTGGTGTGGTGTGGGGGTCAGAGGCGGTTTTGACACAGCCGCCGTCATCTCCATGTGTGTGCGAGTGCATAGATGCTTAGGGGGGCTGGGGGGGAGGGGGAGGTAATTGGTTGAGAGCTGCGTGTGTGCGCGGCCCTGTTTGTGTCGTGCGGGCCGTCTGGCTGTCTCCTTTCTGTCTAGCCAGCCAGACGAGTGCCAGCGCTTTCCTCCCCCCCTGCTGCTGTGGCAATGATTCGGCTTCCTGCATTGCATTCAGTGCCGAGAGCTACCGTGTGATCGACCAATTCATTTTGGTGCTGTGTACCCGTGGAAGTCCAGCCGACACAGGCATGGATTTCCCTGAGTGCATGGCGCCGGGGTGGAACTGGTCAGTCAATCACTCACTCAAGAGCTCTGCTTGATGGCCTGTTTTGTTCATTTGGGCGGGCTGCGGGTGGGTGGGGTTTGGTTTCATTTGGTGTCTGCCTGCCTGCGACGTACGTGCATCCTTGTTTGAGGGCTCTGGCGACCAAGCTGGAGGGGTGGGGGCTGTGCAGTGAGTGCATTTGTGTGTGAGAGTAATGGTGTATGTGTGTGTGTGTAAGGGTAATGGAATGCTGTGTACGTGTAAGGGGCCGGGATGGGTGACGCTATTTCCTGTTTTTTCTCCTGTCCCTGCCTGCAATGGTGCGGGTGCGCTGCGCTTGGTGTGGACGAGTACGTGACGGGTACGGTACACTGACTGATTGCTGTCCCAACGATTGATTCATCCCCATCAGCCAGGCCCCAAATCTCAAGTGACCCTTGCTCCGCTCCATTGATGGATGGAACGACACGCCCGATTGCTTGATGGATCGTCAAGTCCACGCACACGCACCCACACACACACTGAGGTGACAGACATGCAGGGTTGCAGAAGCGATAGCTGGACAATAGTCTGTCTGGCTGCAACTAGCGAAATGACTAACACCAAAGGCTGCCGCGCCGAGCAGCGAACAAAATGCCACAGAATGCATCTCTATGGCCCTACTCACTACACATTGAGTCCATCCATCCATCCATCCGTCCACCCATCCGGCTCTCTCCATGAGCTAGTCTATGGTGTATATCAGAAGGTAGTCGAAGAAGACGTCTCCCTCCCCACTGACCACCTTGCCGTCGCTCCCGCCGTAGTAGCAGTCGGGCGGGCTGATTGGGTCTCCCTCAGTCCGGTAGTTGGTGATGGTCGACAGCCACACGTGGAACAGGTTTTTGGGGATCTTCTCGTACGGCCCGTCGGGCGCACTTGGGCCCGTCTTGGCCCTGACCTCGTGGATGAGGTTTCCGTCGAGGTACCAGGCCGCCCGCTCTCTGTCAAACCACAAGGAGAAGATGTGGTAGTTGTTGACCAGGCTGAGGCCCCGACCACCAGCGGTGTCTTCATCCTGCTCCGATGACGGCCCGCTCCTGTCTGCATCAACTGTGGTGGTCTTCCCCTCATCTGGTCTGTCGACGTCGAGTTGTTTGCCGAACTGCCATCTGCTGCCGGTGAGCCGCTCGAGAGTCAGAGGCTGGTACTCACTGTCGTCTCGGCCCATCCTCGGGCCGCCCCCCGACCATCTGTAGACGCCGTAGTAGAATTCGGAGCGGCCGAACGAGCCGAAGTGCTCGAAGACGTCGAACTCGCTTCTCGGCTCGTATGACATGGGGTGCAGGTTGTTGCCCCCGTCTGAGTATGACGTCCAGAAGGCCTCGTGCCACCCAGGCGTCTTGGTCATCTTGACACGTGTCTCGAAGTAACCGTACCTGCACCACACCAGAGGCCACATCAAACACAGACAGACGGACCTCAGAGAGTCGTCTCTTTCCGACCGACTGACGATTCGCTTACTGGTATCTTCTTCTGGTGACGACCCCCCCACCCGAGAACCACGCGTAACACGTCTCGTTGATCCGGTACCTCCTTCCGCTCGGCAGCGTCACCTCTTTGGCCTTCTTGTACGCAAATGGCTTCTCGAGATACCGCAGCCGGATGACCAGCTTGCCCCTCTCCACGCTCACGTAGGACGGATCGCAGAACGAGTTGCGGCCGCACAGCTGGTGCGGCTGCCGGTACATGAAGGTGTCAAAATCGAGGGAGCCGCCGTCAAAGCCGTCGTAGAGGGCGAACTTGAAGTGCGGCGGGAGACGCACGGCGGGGCGCGGTCTTGAGGGCAGCCAAAAGGGCGGCGAGTCGGGGACTGTTGCATTTGGCACCCACCACCACACGGGCCGTCTTGGCCGCCCCTGGCGGTCAAGTGTATCGCGCGCAGGCGAGAAGATTCCTCTTGGCACAGCCAATGGAAACTGCCTTGAATTAGGATAGCCGCCGCCTTGTTGCGCCACCAGGCCACTATCTTGAGATCTGCCGTCCTTGCTGAGGTTGAGCGGGATGATGATCCAGGCGTCGGCCTCTGCTGGCGGCGGCGGGCGGTCGATGGCGATGATAAATCCCTCAGACAAGTCGGGGGCGTCGGCAAGGGATATGCTCTGGATGTCGGTCACAATCGGCTGTGCAAAGAAGAACCTCTCGGGATCGTCATCCTCCCGCTGCAGCCTTCGCTCGAACAAGGTGGGCCTTCCGTGCCGCTCTGACTTGGTGGCCGGAAATAAGCCTGATGGACCTCTCAGGTAAATGAAGATCAGTGCAGAGATGAAGGTCAGTGCACAAACGGCCTCGCGGAGATGACTCTGCGCCTGCTGCATTGGGATAGCACTGCCAGTGCATGCATGCGACCCGGTGGGCCAAACCGGGGGCGCCGGCGAGACGCGTCTCAGGTTCCGGAGAGCGCGTGTCGTCCATCTGTGTTGTCCTGCGGCCTGATGGAGGTGATCCGCCTTGTATTTTCATAGAATGAGAAACCGGGCTTGGCCGTTATGAAGCTCGCGCCACTTCCGTGAGGCTGAGGCGCTGAGCTGGGAGCTGACAGGGTGTACCGACGTAGGCCACAGGAGCCGTATCAGGAAGCGCCACAGATCCCCATACCTTCCACGTAAGCAGCGAGCCGGCATAGACGTTAACCCGCGGGGCGGACGGGGCGTCCAGCAGGCCCTCCCTCTCTGTTGCGCGTGTGTGCTGTCAGATAAACACCGCTGTAGAGATTCCGAGATCCCGCGAAGGAAGTGAGATCGTGAAACACATCGTGAAGGAAGATGAGAGCGGCGGGTGCGTTTGAGTGATGTGTGGGCGTGCTCAAGAGGCTGATGAGGCTTGCCGACAAACCTGAAAAGACCATCATGGACGCAGCTGACGACACCATGACCAGGTGAGCACAACGAACACCCGAACAAGACACCACACGTTGGCCCGTGACACGTGTGTGTGCTGCATGGATTGTGTCGTCTGTGTGTGTGTGCGTGTGTGTGTGTGTGTTGTGGGTACTGCAGTGTTGACACCAAGTGTGACAGCACGTCGACAGCGGCGGACACGCCGCCCGCTGCGCCGCACAAGAGCGACGACACCCCCAAGAGCTCGCTGATGCAGATATCCGAGGCCCTCGCACAGGGCAATCCGCAAGACCTGCCGCCAATTCTGCTCAACCGACTCAAACACGCCATCCAAAAACTCAACAAGGTAAAGAACCTGGGTGTGACGATGGATGACAGACGCCACACAACTCGGGAGGGAGCGATGAACGGACTGAACTACTTGTTGGTCTGGTCCGTCAATTTGTCTGTCTGCCAGGAGGAGGGCCGTGCCCTTCTAGCGAAGCTTGTCCCGTCCCCCGACAAGCTGCCCAGCGTGGAGAGCGTAGTGTTCGCCCCCAAGACCCCCGTACCTGCCCCTCCCCACTCCCCCACCTCCTCCGCCTCCCCTCCCCCCCCGTCGCCCCCTGGCTATGAGGACGCGCCGCGCAGCGCGAGTCAACGGACCTGGATGACGCCGCCCCTGAGAAGTATCCAGAGCGACCTCGTGTGGCCTGCTAAGTGTGGAAGTTTGGAGCAGCTCAGTGTGCCGCGATCCTCGGCCTCCCTCGGTGACGCGCCCACCAGCACCAGCACCGGGTCTGGCTCGGAGAGCGGCCATGGCGGGAGCACTGCCAGCGGTGTGGCCAAGGGAGAAGTTGCCAGCCTACAGGCGCATCAGAAGGACGGTAAGTCAGTGAGGAATGAGTGCACCCTCCCTCCAGACACATGGGCTGATATATGCTGTCTCTCTCACGTGGATGTGATGTGTGCAGACACTGAAGAGTATCGTCACCTCCTGGAGCGCACCACGCAGTGCGTGCCCGCCCTGGTGCGGAGCCTTCCGCCACAGCTGACCGACTCGCCATCCACAGCCATCCCCCAGCAGCCCACCATCTCCACCGGGCCACTCCCGCCTCTCATGCCCCTCCCGCCACCCCTCCCTCCCGCCATAGAGCCGCCGTCACTGCCCCCACCGCCCGAGGTGGTGCCCACCGAGCCGGCGGTCATCAAGGTGTATGCTGCCCCGGGGCAGCCTGGTGGAATGCCAAACACGAGCCAGCTCAAGGCGTGTGAGAGCGAGCTGGAGGGCGTGGCCAACGAAATGATGCAGAACGGCATGCTGCCCTCCAGAATGGCCGTCAAGTGAGCTGACATACACAGGGTGGATGGAGGTGGGGGAGAGACGTGTGGATCGTGTGTGTGTGTGGTCGGTGCGCATTCAGGTTCAAGAAGCATTTGCGGACTCTGACGATGGAGACGACGGCCGTGCTGCGCCGCTCCGAGACCCTCAAGACGCAGAACGACACGCTCAAGAAGCTGATGCTCACGCCCAAGGAGGCCCCTCCCTCCCCCTCCCCCTCCTCACCCAGCAGCACCGGCACACCCGACCCGACACTGTCGATAGACCAGCTGCTGCGTGAGGTGGCCCTCACCCCACCCCACGAGGCCACCGTGGCGGCGTCGCCCGTCATTCAGATGTTCAAGAGCCGGCTGCTGGAGCACATTGAGACCTACATCAACAAGCGCGAGCGAGAGCTCAAGGAGAGCGTCACAGTCATCCGGGAGAGGGACCAAGAGGTAGGTATCTGACACACAACAAACACGCCTTACACACGAGGGCGTTGAGCGGAAGAACATAGTGAGTGTGTGCCTTTGTTGTGTTCTGTGGGTGCCTGCAGGAGATGAATGTGTTGAAAGGCGAGGTGGACCGTCTGCAGGAGGAGGTCCCGCTGCTCAAGAAGACCATCGAAGCCATAGGCGACAGAGAGTGAGCCACCCACCCACCCACACACGCACACACACACACATACGTCGTCACTCATCACGCCCCAACCCACCAGCCCACCACACTCGACCTCTCTCCCTCTCCCTCTCTCTGTGTGTGTGTGTCAGCCTCCACCGCATGGAGGATCGTGTGATGCGTGCACTGCGCGACTACCGCGACATTCGCGAAAACGACCGCAATAGGATCGAGGCCCTCGAGAAGGAGCGCAAGGAGATGGAGGAGACGCTCGAGCGGTGCAAGGTGGAGCACCGCACCAACACCGCCAAAATCACCCAGTACTCCGACAAGGTCGCGCATCTGCAGCGGGCCGTGCGCGAGTACAAGGGGGCGGAGAAGCTCAACGCCACCACCATGGCCGGACTCAAGATATTCACCGACGAGTGAGTGAGACAGACCTTCTTCCCAAACACTGTACAGTGGCTGCCTGGCTGTGTGTGTGTGTGATGGGTGTAGCCTGAAGGGTGCTCTGTCGAAGGTGTTGGGTGAGAAGCGTAGTCTGCAGCAGCAGCTGAGCGTCATGGAGCAGCGGCTCACGGCGTCCGAACGGGACGCTGCCATCCTGAGAGAAGAGATCAACCGGTCGGCACACCACACCACCAACCACAACCACACCGGGTGTCTGCACCCCACCCGTGCTGCACACTACACTTGTGCGTGCGTCTGCCTGTGTGTGTGTGTGTGTGTGTGTCTGCAGTATGAAGTCATCGCCAGCCGGTGACCCCGTGTTCATCCAACGTGCTCGAAAAAGGTCGAAATAAGGTGGTGGTGCACACATGGCCACGCATAGCCATAAAAGCCGCCTGTCTGTCTGGATATGTGGCCCATCCCCCGTCAGTTTTGAGCAGGAGGTAGTCCACCGCGAGCGTATTGAGGCGCTGGAGGGCCAGCTCCGCACCCTACGCAACAACGAGAACCTGCAGAGAGCGGCCATCAAAGCCATCACCGAGTCGCTCCCCGCCGAGTTCCAAAAGTGAGCTGCATGAGGCCAACACACATCGGTGTCCTCTTCATCTCATCTGTCCGAGTGTGTCGGGTGGTTGGCTGGTTGCTTGCAGGCGTGATCGCGCTGTCAAGGCCCTGCAGGACGAGAAGAATGCACTCACAGAAGCGCTCAAGATGGGCAAGGTACACACACACACGCACACACCTGCACACCAGCCACACACACAACACAGATGTGCCCATTCCACCTCCTTGGTCGCTTACTGTCTGTCAGCTTCGCGAGGAGAGCGCCCTATGTGCGTTGGAGAAGCAGACGAGCGAGGCGCAGGCACTGCGTGAGGAGCTGCATCGCATGAAGACCGTCGGGCCGCCCAACAGGACGTCGTCATCGGGATCGTCGCCCGCATCCCTATTCCACTACCAACCGTAGAATAGACACGAACCGTCACAACACCGACAAGGTGAGAGGACAGCACACCTGATGGATGGATGGACAGCACGGAGGGTCGTCGTCTGTCTTGTGTTCCCACGTGGCTTCTCTCTCTCTCTCTGTGTGTTGCTGTTGGTGGTGGTGCAGGGTGGGTGGAGGTGGGTTGCCGCCTGTGTGTGTGTCATACCGACAGATGGGGCCGCCCGGCGTATGTGTGTGTGTCTGGAGAAGTGTTTTGTGTTCATAGCGAGCCGGGGAGGGCGGGCGGGCTGGCGGGCGGACAGACAGACAGGCCCAGGAGGCAAAGCGATGTAGTTGAAGGGGAGGGCTGGTTGGCAGGCAGGCAGGATGGATGGATGGATGCTGATACACTTAGCTTCCTTCCACCATTTTTATACCGACGAGAGGAGAAAATGGCTGGCCATACTGATCCTTATCCATCCATCCACCGATTCATTCATTCACTCATCACGCATCCCACTCCACTTCCACCCACCACTCTCACTTTTCCAGCCTGTGCAGAGTGATTGAGTGTGTTGTGGTGCGTGCCAGGCCGTGGCCGGCCGGACCACATGACATGCAAGTAGCCTTCCTCCTTTCACATAAGCCAGCAGCCAGGGCGGGCAGAAACAAAGAAAGAAATGGGCACTGTACTCCTGGATGGATGGATGGATGGATAGGGATGGACACAGCAGGACAGACAGACGAACCAAAGCGCCGAGGCGGAGGGACAGAGTGTGGGCTTGTCTCCGTGCAAGGCCCCTAGTGTGGGGATCGGCCGGCCAGCCAACATTCCCCCTTCCCGTCGGGCCTTAATTCGATGTGGTTGATGCGTGCGTGGCTGCATGCATGAATCAAGGGATGGGCTGGGGGGTTGCGAGCCGGGAGGGGGCGGGGAAAGCAGGCAGGCAGGCAGGAAGGGTGTTTGTTTCTTATGTGAATGTCGAACGAACGAACGAACGAACGGTTTGTGGCTTATCCTTTCTCTTGTCGCTGTTGCGTGTCAGTCAGTCAGTCCGCATTTTTGTGCGATCGATTCGATTGTTTTATCCCTTATCTTATTTTCCTCCTCCTCCTTCCTCCTTCCTCCTCGTAACCTAACACAACATGTCTTTCTGGCGTCCATTGTCGTGTTTTTCGACATCTCAGTCAGTCCAGTCGGTATGTGTGTATGTGTATCTATCACTTCCTTTGCAATCCATGGTATAGATTGTATTCGATTCTTCGTCGGTTCGCTTGCGATCGATGGATGGACGGGCTGAT